TAATGTAGAATCTTCAGCAGGATATTATGTCCTTCAGTTATGGTATTGTTGTTGTAGTGTGCCTATAAGCAACCAGACAAGGGAAACATACATTCTAAGAAGTTTTGAGATAAACGTATACTCCTTGGGTTTTCTCTCATTGTGCACTGAGTTTGATTTAAAATCCCCACGAGCTGACCCATTACTGGTGCTGTCAACTTCTTAAGTCTCCGGATGAGTCAAGAGTGATGCTTCCCTCTAAAGTTGTCATCCCGTGAAATTCCATGATTTCTCTCCAGAGAATTTTACACAACTATTATGCCTGATATTGAAGACTGTATCCAGGCTCTCTTGGGTGTGTGTGGTTTCTTTCCCCCCAATGAAGTTAGCATAACAATCCCTAGTTGAAGTATCAACGATGTAGTTTTGTATCTTCCCCGGTAAAGTCTGTATTGACATCCCCAGTTGAGGTCTCGACGACGTGGCTTTCATCTTCCCCTATTGAAGTTAGTTCTGGAATCTCCAGTGAAGTCTAGATGATGAAGCTTCCCCTTCCCTTATTGAAGTCCGTATTGGTATTCCCCGGTGATACATGGAAGAGTTTATGATATTCCCGCAACTTTATTTGTTGCTAGCCAGGTGGTTCTTTGATTGTTTTCAATCCATGTTCTTCCCAACAAAGTTAAGCCGTGAAATAGGACTTTGTTTCCTCTGTTGATGCTTACTCTCTCGTGGAATCTGATCTTCATCCTGCATGTAACTTAGCCGAGTGTTGTCTTCACCCAAGTTAGATTTGTCTGGTTATCCCCAGTGTATTATGGTTATTTTGTCAGCATGCGCATGATAACATCCATACATTCATATACATCATGCATAGATAAATTTAAACTTCATTACTAATTTGCATTCATTGATGTTTTGTCGGCATATTATCCTCTTTGCAAAGTATTGTTACCCTCTTTACAATAGAGTTGTCAATGTTAAACGAAAAGTGTATATCCTTTCAATTCCCCCCACTGAGTTATCCCTCGTGGAATATTTTTGCTTCAACCTTCCTATTCAGTTCATCATCTGGATGGAGTATAATCCCCTTTTGAGTTTATTTCTCATCAGGTGCTGACTTATTTGATTATCTCATCCCAGTTTATTTCTGGTTTGAGTCTGTAGTCCCCGATAACATTATTATTCTGATTTCTGCAGGCTTCGAGCCTTGATCTGAGAATGAACATTTATTTTGCACGAAAATACTTTTTTCTCCTCAGCAGGAATGTATTGGTATTTCCCCAGGAAATTAAGCTTATTTTCTCGCAAGTCTTATTACAATTCCTTCTTAAAACAACAAGCGACAGTTCTCTTTATTTGAGCAATTTGTTCCTTGCCAGTAAGTCTATTAACGCAAGAAGATCGTTTTTCCAATGAACTGTAGTCTCGTCATTATAGGAGATAGTTTGTTGAAGAAGTTTGTTTTTCCAATGAATGGTAGCCTTGTCATTATGGAAGGTGGTTCGTTGATGAAAATTTTTTACTTTCAATGAATGGTAGTCTCGTCATTATGGGAGATAGTTCGTTGATGAAGTTTGTTTTTCCAATGAATGGTAGCCTTGTCATTATGGAAGGTAGTTCGTTGATGAAAATTTGTTACTTTCAATGAATGGTAGTCTCGTCATTATGGGAGATAGTTCGTTGATGAAAATTTGATATTCCAATGAATGGTAGCCTTGTCAGTATGGAAGGTAGTTCATTGATGAAGATTGTTCTCCAATGAATGGTAACCTTATCATTATGGAAGGTAGTTCGTTGCTGAAATTTGTTACTCCAATGAATGGTAGTCTCGTCATTATGGGAAATAGTTCGTTGTTGAGTTTAGTTGTACTTCAATGATAAAGACAGTTTGTTGAAAGATTCCTACAACTGTGTTTTAACCCTTTCCAGGTGAAATATCTTGGTTAAAGAAGAAACTGAGACCAGTTCGTGGCGTATAGTAAGGATCGAGGGGAAGTTTATCTGATTCTCCGTCAAATGGTATCTCTTCGAGGAAGTTTCGCAAGAGAAGTTTGTTGTGAAATCTTTACAAATGGCAGTCTCTTTATTTGAGATAGCTTGTATTTTTACCCTTTCCAGGTGAAATATCTTGGTTAAAGAAGAAACTGAGACCAGTTCGTGGCTTATAGTCAGGATCGAGGAGAAGTTTATCTGATTTTCCATCAAATGGTATCTCTTCGAGGAATTTTCGCAAGAGAAGTTTGTTGTGAAATCTTTACAAGTGGTAGTCTCTTTATTTGAGATAGCTTGTATTTTTTACCCTTTCCAGGTGAAATATCTTGGTTAAAGAAGAAACTGAGACCAGTACGTGGCTTATAGTCAGGATCGAGGGGAAGTTTATCTGATTCTCCATCAAATGGTATCTCTTCGAGGAAGTTTTGCAAGAGAAGTTTGTTGAGAAATCTTTACAAGTGGTAGTCTCTTTATTTGAGATAGCTTGAGTTTTTTACCCTTTCCAGGTGAAATATCTTGGTTAAAGAAGAAACTGAGACCAGTTCGTGGCTTATAGTCAGGATCGAGAGGAAGTTTATCTGATTCTCCATCAAATGGTATCTCTTCGAGGAAGTTTTGCAAGAGAAGTTTGTTGTGAAATATTTACAAGTGGTAGTATCTTTATTTGAGATAGCTTGTATTTTTACCCTTTCCAGGTGAAATATCTTGGTTAAAGAAGAAATTGAGACCAGTTCGTGGCGTATAATCAGGATCGAGGGGAAGTTTATCTGATTCTCCATCAAATGGTATCTCTTCAAGGAAGTTTCGCAAGAGAAGTTTGTTGTGAAATCTTTACAAGTGGTAGTATCTTTATTTGAGATAGCTTGAGTTTTTTACCTTTTCCAGGTGAAATATCTTGGTTAAAGAAGAACCTGATACCGGTTCGTGGCTTATAGTCAAGATCAAGGGGAAGTTTATCTGATTCTCCATCAAATGGTATCTCTTCGAGGAAGTTTCGCAAGAGAAGTTTGTTGTGAAATCTTTACAAGTGGTAGTCTCTTTATTTGAGATAGCTTGTATTTTTACCCTTTCCAGGTGAAATATCTTGGTTAAATAAGAAATTGAGACCATTTCGTGGCTTATAGTCAGGATCGAGGGGAAGTTTATCTGATTCTACATCAAGTGGTATCTCTTCGAGGAAGTTTCTCAAGAGAAGTTTGTTGTGAAATCTTTACAAGTGGTAGTCTCTTTATTTGAGATAACTTGTATTTTTACCCTTTCCAGGTGAAATATCTTGGTTAAAGAAGAAACTGAGACCAGTTCGTGGCGTATAGTCAGGATTGAGGGGAAGTTTATCTGATTCTCCATCAAATGGTATCTCTTCGAGGAAGTTTCGCAAGAGAAGTTTGTTGTGAAATCTTTACAAGTGGTAGTCTCTTTATTTGAGATAGCTTGTATTTTTACTCGTTCTAGGAAGAACGCCAGGATTTTGGGAAGTTCGTTATTGCTCTTTGAGACATCACCTTCAGTAAAAGATGGTGCATTCTCTTTTCTCCACCTTCAGTAAACGTTGGTGTATCTTCTGTTTCTTTACCTTCAATAAAAGTCAGTATTGTCCTATGTTTGTTTTTTTACCTTCATTCTTGAGTGGGTAGTTCATTACCATTCTTAGGTAAGATTGATCCCTTTCTGGTTAGCGATTGCCGATCCCCTGTGTTGATGTCTCTGCTATCAGATTTCCTCAAGATACAACTTTTTCTTCATCAAAGTTCTTTCAAAGAATAAAGGCATTAGGGCCTAACTCAGCCAGAGAATCAGGATTTCTCTTCATTTTATTTAAGCTTGGTAATGATTCTTCTATGGAGGTTTATTGATTTAAAGTCTCACTTCAAGGCTACATTGAGCGCTACTCTTCCCTTACTGAAAGATTGCTTTGAGCTTTATCAAGTTTAGATATGTGTCGTTGGGTAAGCTATGGGTCAAGATCTTATTTAGCTCATTTTATCAAATGAAAGATGGTTGTTTCAAATGCAAGATGACTATAATTTATAGATTCAATTGAGATTAAGGTTCATTGACGAAGCACGCCATTTGAAGTCAACTAAGTTTCGACTTGTCATGAACGCTTGAGTTGCATTAAGGATCGATTTAAGATAAACATGGAATAGAAGTTTTTAATGTGATTCAAGGATAAGTCATTTAACTTGCTTGAAGAACAAGATATATGCGAGAGATGTTACAGGACTTGTGGATAATTTTCCTGGTTTTCTTGTACTCATAATATAAGTGATTCATCAATTGGCTTTGCTTAGAATTTGGATTATGTTTGAGATACAAAAAGAAGATTTTGAACTTGAGGTTAAAGAAGGGATCACGATTCATTCAAGATACATTTTGAGAAGATGTAAGCATAAGAGAATAAAGTCAAAGACAAGTGAATTAATTCAAAGTCTCTTTTCTTGATTCAACCATGGCTATTACAAAATCAAGAACTAGAACATATACATTTTCAACCATTCAAAATTACATAAAAGTGACAATTACAATCCAACTTATGAATATATTACATCAAAGTCCATAAACCAAAATTCAATTACATCCGAAAACTAGCCATATCATCTGTGTCACATTTAAAAGAAAACTATAAAAATGTTGCAAGTTAATGAATGTCCTAATTCTATGAGATTTGTGTCAAACTCCATGCCTCCAAATTCAATGAATCTTGCTATACTATGCTAAGTTTCAGCTTTGCACCATGGACCATTGGATCAAACCGTACAAACTGTGATATAGCCCTGCATTAGAAAATCAGAAGATATAAAAAGAAAGAAGAAGAGGGAAAAGAAACCAAGTGACTTAAATAGGGAAGATTCTAGTGAGCAAAATATCAATGAGCCAAATGATGCTGAATTAAGTAGTTCCAATGGGTTAGATAAACCGATTTCTAAAGAAGTCTTATTGCGTCTCAAAAAATCTGGATCTGGTCTTCATATGAAGTCAGTGGATGAGCTTATCAACCTGGCACACAAGTTTTATGATGAAGTTACCTTGCCAAAGCTGGTTACAGATTTTGCATCACTTGAACTTTCTCCGATGGATGGTCGTACTTTAACTGACTTCATGCATTTAAGGGGACTTAAGATGGGATCTTTGGGTGAAGTGGTTAAACTTTCAGAGAATCTTCCACATATACAATCCCTTTGTATTCACGAGATGATATCTCGAGCATTCAAGCATCTAATTAAAGTAGTTATTGCTTCTTTCGACAATTTAGCAGATTTACCATCAGTCATTGCATCAACACTGAATTTCTTACTTGGCTGGTTCAAACTTCCACAAGGCAATATCATTAGTAATACTTCTTCCACACTTTAGCCCTGCCATATTCAAAAACACAAAAAAACAGTTTAACAGTCTGCATAAAAGTGCCAACAGGTTTCCAACTTGCAGCCAGTTGGTTAACCGAGTTGTAACAGAAATTTGCCAGCTCATCACATCAGTTATAACAGAAAATAACAGAATTGTAGCATTTTCAAAACTTCTAACCTCCTCAAGCTAGACCCTTCAATTCTATAACAAGTTTTATTAATCCAAGGGTTGAAATCTGTTTCCAGCTAACTAACTTTTCTAGATCTAACAAAAAGAGAAAAAAGAGAAACTGGCCTCAATTAGGGACTCTCGATTTTTTCTGGAGAGAATCACAAAACTCTTCAACAACCTCTCTCTTATCCTGTTATCTTCATCTTCATCATTCTTCAACTTCCAGAAGGATCACCAAAAATATCTTGAAAAGTTTCTCAATCTCCATCACCAAACTTCTTCACTCTCCCTCTGAATTCCATCTTCATCTTCCTCACATCAACTCACTTCAATCTTCACCTTTATCTTCATCTTCTACAATTAACGAAACCTCCAAAACCATGAATCTCAACCTTCAACAATCACCAAGAAACTTCAAAAATACAATCTGCAACATCACCAATCTTCAGCATCATCTTCATGTTCTCTGCATAGCACCCTGCTCCAACCATTAACGAAAACGCATGCAACAATAATCGTAACACAGATCGAAGGAGAAGAAGAAGAAAGTATAAGAATTAGAAGAGGAAAGAGTGGGAATCAAAGAAAATTAAGACGAAGAGGAAGACGCTCACCTGAGTTCCTTGATTTTTCTCGTCATCGATTTCACTATTGTAAAATCGCCGGAGCATCTCCGGTCGGTAAGACTAGATATTCCTTTGTTCTTCGCTCGTTACTTCAACTTATTGATTGCATCATGATGGATAAACAAAGGAGTTTACACGGAGGTGAGAAGAATCACGGTGAAGATCAAACATCAACGGTGCTACGATCTGTGATGTTGCGGAGATGACTGAAACGACGGTGAGACAGCGGTGAGCGGCAGAGCTGGGTTTGTTAATCAGAGAAGAAGGTTTGAGGAGTTAAGATCACATCATTTATAAACAAGAGAGCCTGGGTTGTGTCATCTGAAACGATATAATTGTGACCCTATCCAAGATCAAAACTCACCGTTTTTGCTTCTTCTTGTTAGATTTTGTTCTATTATAAGTTGATAAAAGGATTAAAATCTGAATATGGATTTGAATTGGGAATGGCTGGGCCGGAAGATGAGAGGCCATGCGCTGGATTTTCCAAAGCCAATTACTTTTTTTATGCACATGTAGCATTGCAACAAAAATAGTTGTTGGATCCTCTTTGTTGGGCTTAGTGCCATTCTGATCCATACATATGAATCCATATTCGCACCCCCTCTGTTTCTACCATACTCTTATCTTCCCATGTTTTATTAGTTTTAGTGTCATTTTTCCATGATTTTAATGATGAAAATGATATAAAGAAAGTGATAGAACATTTTAGAAACCTTTAAGATCTCCCTTTAGAATTTTCATTAGAATTTTCTATTATTTTCATGTTTGATAATCGTTTTCGTTGTCATTTCTAGCTAAGATTTTGCGATAGAATGTTTATGCAACTTTGGCAATGTGGAAGTTCTTGGAGACTAACTCGTTTGATCTCTTATTTTCTTAGCTTTGAAGAGGCAACATACTTTCTCTGTTATCTCACACAAAGTATCCTGGATTTCTTTACTTTGGTTGCACTTTTTGCGGACGTCATTGTTCGTTTGGTATTACACTGCTTCCAAGTTATATTTCCGTATTTATCGCTTTTCTAGATATCATGAGAAGTAGGAAATAAAGAGCGTGCGCTCGAAGTCGTTGTTTAAATACCTGTAGCAGGTATTCCACACTTCATTTCTGTTATGTGTTGTGCTTGTGTTTGTTTCCTTTCTTGTTGATCGATGAGTCACTCAATTTAGAAATTGAGATCACGACTTCGCTCTCAGTGCATGCTCCCTATAGGATTTTATCGCTTTCCTTTATTTCTTGTTGATCGATGAGTCACTCAATTTAGAAATTGAGATCACGACTTCGCTCTCAGTGCATGTTCCCTATAGGATAGTTTGTTAGACTTTCTTTGGCATGCTGACTTAGATAGGATCCCTCATTGTATGATAACATTAGGTTATAGATAGGTTAGTCTCCCTTAGATGTTTTTTCCACGTTTTGGCATAATTGCACTTAAAACTAAAACTTCTTTTTTCTTGGCAAATGTATAAGGAATTCTAAGCATACAAAAATACTTTTCATAATAAAAAATACCAACCAATCCATTTCTTTTCGCCATTCGACTTTTCTCTTCTAAGAGCATGTTAGCTCCTTTTCACCACAGGTTGTAAGTATCCAAAGGTCGAGCAGCGGTGGAATGATCGAATGCAACATTGTTCATTTAAAAAATACAAACAAACAAAATATATGAGCTGAACTACGGTAGCTCTGATTCCTCAAAAAGGAAATGTAGGCATTGGGGTAGGGCCCAAGCGAGTACAACTTTATTTTCCCTACATTCTTTCTTTTTTCTTTGCATGCATTCTCTCTTAGTTTACAACCTTTAAGCATTAGATTGAACACACCCTTTGATTAGAATAACGAGAGTGGATCCTATAGAGTACTATGGTCATGTGGGGTGCTAATACCTTACCCTCGCGTAATCGACTCCCTTACCCAATCTCTCGGTCGCAAGACCTTGATTTCCCCTTTTAGGTTTTTATTCAATGATTTTTCTTTCCCTTTCATATGGGATAAATAAATACTCGGTGGCGACTTCATTGATTTTACCGCTACATCTACCTAATGTTAGAATGCATGGTTTGCAACCTAAAGTCTAACTTACGTCCAAAGGGAGCAAGCACGTCCTGAGGGAACATGGTATGTACATGGATAAAACAAGCAAGCTCGAAAAATAACACACATAAAATAGTAAGGAAGAGAAGATAAATAGTTTAGCCAAGGAGAGCGTATCACCTGAGACAAACAAGCGGGGGTGGGATGAAAAAACAAAAATATGATGTCCAAAGCGATTGAACACCTAACCAAGATATAAGAGATCGAGGTAGGAGACAAAAGACAATATGAATGATCACGGAGTATCAACATCAGCCAATGAAAACTCCTAACAAAGTGTGGGGGTTTGATTGCGGAACCCTTCCCCACTTGACGACTTGATACACATGAGTAGGCACAACTCCGAAGCATCATGGTGCGCCAAGAGATAAGGATGACACATACGAAATTGCGGGGGTCGATTACTAACCCTCCCTACTCGCCTCTTTTTGAGGACTTATCATCTGTACATATGCGGACACAAATATAAACACACCTATAGATACCTACACAAAGGTAGGGTTTTAAACAAACCACACACAAGTAGCACACAATGGCCAACAATGCAGAATTGCCCTAAACGGGTCTTTAAATAAACCAGAGGGGTTCCTAACATAATCAACAATGGAGACCCCTCTCATACATCTCTACCCTACTTCTCATGGCATCAGAAAGCAGTAAAGCCCTACTTCTCATGATATCTAGAAAAGCAGTAAAGAAGTACGATAAATAAAACGCTGAAATGAGGAATAAAATGAAGTTGCGATGATACCTAACAGAGAAGGTCCGTTGCCTCTTCAAAACCATGAAAGCAAAGAGCAAACTCTACAGAAGCTGCATCGCACGATTGATCAAAGAATTAGTCTCAGAGTATTCCATATCGCAGAAAATTTGCCTCAATATTGTCATAAACTCTCAACAAAAATGACAACCAAATGATTAACAAACATAAAAATAATAAGTAAACTCTAATCAAAATTATAAAAAATAAATTCCAAAGAGTTATATTAACACCTTTTTATTGTTTTATCATATATTTCTACTACAAAATTATGAAAAAGAAAGTAAAAACTAAAAGGTGATGAAAAGAAGATTAAGAGAGTCAGGGGGTGCAAAGTATGAATTAGATGGTGAGCTCAGAAAATGGAACTAAGGCCCAGCAGATTAAGTACATCATAGACCTTTTTTGCACAAACTTTTTCCTTCTCCAAAAAAGTTGCAATGGGCTTTCAAGATGTTATACAACAGAGCCGTCAACAATTATTTCTAATTCAGCATTATATTATTTTATTTTCTATGATTATTTACTATAAAAAATAAAACAAATAAAAATTTAAATAAGATAATGATAGGGGTTAGGGCTAGATCGATGCCGCACAAGTGAGCTTCTTCGGAAGCAAAAAAATCACTGTCGATTCAGTTCTGATCAGAGCTGTTTCCCAAGCTTCGTTATCATCATCATCATCGATTCTCCCCTGTTCCCAATTGCGGCGCTACGAGAGCTTGATCTTATCCTACCAAAATCCTTCGCCTTGGATTTACAATCTTTTTTGCCTTTTCTTATCACCTTCGCGAACTCGCTCTCATTCGACTCAGTGATTCTCTCATCGTTACAACTACACCATGAACATCAACAGTCCACTTGATTCTTGCTGCTCATCACCTTAAACCTCCGTCTCTCTTCATCAATTCATCAATTGTCGGAGTCGCTCCGACGGTTTTTCAGATACCATAGCCAACACAAGAAATGTGGAGATGCGTGACTCATGTATAAAATCATTCGTATATTCATTATTTGTACAGAGGTTTATTCCACTGCTTTATTTCTTCTCTTGCTTCTCTTTCGCTCACTCTGATTTCGAGTTTCAGATTTTTGAGCTTCCCGCTATGTGTGCAGATTGGTGTGATTGTTGCGATGAAGAAACACTGAGAAAGATTCCAGTTTGTTCAGAGATGATGATGTGTGATAATAACGATCGATGACGTGCGAAGTTTGATGCTACAAACTGTTGATGAAGGTCATGAACACTTGAAGTTGATTCAAAGGTGAAGATAGGTAATGGTGATGATGAATCACATTCCTGATTCAGAGAGGAAGAGATCCAATCTTATGGTCAGTTTCTTTGGTGAGTTTCTCCCTTTTTCTTCTGTACCTCTATGAATAATTATCTGTGTGAATCTATTATGGTTTGTGAATAATCAATCCCTAGTTGTGTTTTCAGAATTATGTTATATAGCTGGAGAATGAAG